TGAGTGCTTGTGAGTGTACGTGTGTGAGTGCGTGTGTGAGTGCACCTGTGTGAGTGCTTGGGAATGTACGTGTGCATGTGTGAGTGCTTGTGAGTGTACATGTGTGAGTGCATGTGTGTGAGTGCACTGTGTGCTTGGGAATGTACGTGTGTGAGTGCACATGTGTGAGCACATGTGTGTGAGTGCGAGTGTACGTGTGTGAGCGCATGTGTGTGAGTGCATGTGTGAGTGCACGTGAGTGCTTGGGAATGTACGTGAGTGCACGTATGTGCGTGTGAGTGTACGTGTGTGAGTGCGTATGTGAGTGCATGTGTGACTGTACGTGTGTGAGTGCATGTGTGTGAGTGCACGTGATGTGTGTGAGTGCGTGTGAGTACGTGTGTGAGTGCACGTGTGTGTGTGAGTGCACGTGTGAGTCCACGTGTGTGAGTGCGTGAGTGTACGAGTCTGCGTGCACGTGTGAGTGCATGGGTGTGAGTGCATGAGAGTGCATGTGTGTGAGTGCACATGTGTGAGTGCATGTGAGTGTGTGAGTGTACGTGTGAGTGTACGTGTGAGTGCACGTGTGAGTGCGTGTGAGTGCATGTGAGTGCACGTGTGTGAGTGCATGTGAGTGTGAGTGCTTGTGAGTGTACGTGTGAGAGTGCACGTGTGAGTGCATGTGATGTGTGTGAGTGCGTGAGTGCATGTGAGTGCACGTGAGTGCACGTGTGAGTGCGTGTGATTGTACATGTGTGAGTGCATGGGTGTGAGTGCATGCGAGTGCATGTGTGTGAGTGCACGTGTGAGTGCATGTGTATGTGAGTGTACTGTGAATGTACGTGTGTGAGTACACGTGTGTGAGTGCATGTGTGTGAGTGCACGTGTGAGTGCACGTGTGTGAGTGCATGGGTGTGAGTGCGCATGTGTGTGCATGTGTGTGTGTACGTGTGAGTGTATGAGTGCACGTGTGTGAGTGCTTGTGAGTGTACATGTGTGAATGCACGTGTGTGAGTGCGTGTGAGTGTAGGTGTGTGAGTGCACGTGTGTGAGTGCACATGTGTGAGTGCACGTGTGTGAGTGCTTGTGAGTACATGTGTGAGTGCATGGGTGTGAGTGCATGCAAGTGCATGTGTGTGAGTGCACGTGTATGAGTGCATGTGTGTGAGTGTACGTGTGTGAGTATATGGGTGTGCTTGTGAGTGCA